TTTGAACAAATATCAAGTTTTTTTTTCTTTTTTATTTTCAAAACACAACTAAAAAAAAAAAAAGTTCCAACTCAAATAACTTTTTTTTTTTTTTGTGGAACTAGTCGTGTAACGGCTTTTAGTAGACTGTACTCTCCCGCCTCGGTGTAAAATACGGCAATCGCGTCAGTAGAGCGCAAGTAGAGCGTACAGTTCAGAGCCTCTTCGAGCGCGCTTTTCCATTGTATACACCTACACCTTCGGATAATTACGTGGATGTACAACCTCTACCATACCCTGCAAGTGGGTACGCTTAAACGTATCCTCCTCATTTTTTGACTTTTAATTTGCTGTCTACGCGTGAAATGTGTGTATTTTTTAAGTAGTTAGGGTAAATAAAAACTTTGACACCGTGGGCCAGAAGGTAACTCGATGAATTGTTTTTCCCGAAGGCGATCTGATTTTACTTCTGCAACGAGGTGAGCAACTAAATATTACTTACCTGCACGTATAATCAACAGGAATATGTTCTTCGTTGCTTGAAGTGTTAAAATCATGTTTTGCCAATTTCAAATCGAATTTTCAGTCGTTGCCGTGTCACGCGTTATGGGTATATTATTTTCTTATCAGCAAATTTTATTTTATTGAGAATGCGGGGGTAGCCACAAATAATACATACATTAAAATTTTTAGTATTTATAACTGTATTTATAGTTCAATTTTCACCCCCACTTTTATAAGAAAAAAAAGGAAAAAAACAAAAAAAAACTACGAAAATCCGATTACCTTGATTCTTATGTGATTATACTTTTTTTTTGGTACAAAGCGCCTCATAGATTTAATTGGTAGAGAAAAAAATTGTATTTCCTCACTACGTCGCAAAATTAACTACATTATCCGGACTAAACGATTTTTTCTGAACGAAAAATTGATTGAAAATATGGTGTGTGAAAAAAAAAATTTGCGTATCGAATTTTTGATAAGATAATTTTGTGCATAATTTTGTAGCAGGTTTTTAATAATAATTTTTTAAGGTTTGGTTTGTATTGGGGTTCGGTATATAGAGTTGATAAAAAAAATTCATTGTTTAGCTCATCAAAGTACTTGCTTATCAAGTACTATTTATTCTAACGCATTTCGTTAACATACATAAATTAAAAATACATATGTGTCTGTGCAAACAGCAATCGACAAAAAAATCAAAAAATTATATTAATAAAATTTTTACAGTACTGAATTATTTCATCCAAGAAAATGTGTACTAGTATTAATTATTTTTAACAAAAACTAATTTAGCTCTAAATAATATGTATTTTATATATTTTTGCGGAGATTATACATTGAAAATTGATATTTTTGGTGAAAAAAATTCGATTATCAAAAATTATTTTTAAATCGCTTGAAAAATTTGAAAAAAAAAAAAAAAAAATTACACCTAATTACCGTAAAAAAAATCTTAAAAACTGGCTCTTCTTCCAATGTATGTATTATTTTGAGATTAAAAAAGATCCTTATAAGAAAGTCACGATATTAAAAAAAAAAACAGTAAAACTTTAGAAAAAAATGTAATTCATAACAATTTTTACACTAAAAAAAATAGCCCTGTGTAAAACACTTTTATACAATAATTGTAGAGTCTCGATAAAAATAAAAAACGATTAAATTGCGTACTTACTGGGATATATGAGACACTACTTGCTAGTGACAAAATGTCATTCTTATTAAACGAACACTGTACGTGCGGATAAGAAATTATTGGAAATCGAAAATTCAGTCAAGCCAAGTTTTTTTTCAATTGACATAAAAATCATCAAATTATTGACTCTTAGTCGAGACGACGCGTATAAGTTTTTCTTTACTTGCGTTTTACTTCTAGTCTACATCGCCGTATATACCTATATGTGTATACATTTTTTTGCTCCGCTGAACGATTTACTGTTCTGTCCTTCTCAACTTTCCAATGGACTCGGGGGCTGCAATTTTGTCATCATTATTTGCTTTTGTTCCGTGATTGAGCTTTGAAGCTCGTTCTGCAAAAAGTTTGTTCTTCAAAGTTGACTTTCTTTTTATTTCTGCGCTTTGCACGTGCTCCCGTACATATTGTGCCACGTTAGCTGTGACGGTTGTTGAAAAATGTTGTAGAAATAATAAATGTAGATAAATTTTCTTATATTTTTCATAATGATTTATTTAAAAAATTTTTTACAATTATATAAATAATTTTCACGCCCTGAAAATTAAGGTCTTGACTTGCAAAAAATTAACGTAAATTATTAATTTATTTAAAAAATTCTTTTGCTGTTTTGTTACGTTTATTTTTTTTTATGAAGGGTAAAATAGTATGGATCGGGAGACTCGTCGTAAAACTCGAATAATTTATCAATTTATACCTACACCCGTACATTATTTAATTACAGAGAAAATTTTCGACTAGGCTCTATCATTTTACTATTAAGTATATACTTTGTTTGAGTCGTTCATTAATTTGTACAAATTTGCAAAGTTACATTCTCTTAAGCGGATTAAATTTTTACATTTCGAAACTAATTTTGATTTTTACGTACAAACAGTTGAAGATTTAAAAAAAATATTTGCCTCTGGTTTAAAAAAAAGTTAAAATGTCTTTACAGCAAAACCTTTCTTGGGTCCTTTAATATTTTTATATCTTGATTAGTTAAATATGAAAAAAAAGTTGTGCTGATGATGTTGATACTTTGGTTTGATGTTGCTTGGCACCTGAAAAGGTAAATTATGAGTTTCGTCGAAATTCCGAAACAAAAACGAGTTGGAAATAGTAGTTTTTCTACGAGTTTGAAAAGTCTTTGTTTGCGAACCGAGAGGTTTGCGGCCCGAGCCGAAGGCGAGGGACGTAACGAGGTTCGTAAAGGAGACTTTTCGAACGAGTTCCGGAAAACTGCTTTTTCGCCCGAGGAAGTACCAGCCTCCCAAAATTACCCGAGGGCGGAAAAATCATTATTGTTCAACCACGCGCCACTTTTCAATCCATTGGCATACTCTCGATTCCATTATGCTAACTTTCAACAAAGTCACTTAATCATCGAATATCTATGGTTTTCGCAAGTCAGAAAGCAAAAGCTGATCTTCTGTAGAAACCATGACTCATCACATGAGATCAGTGGCAGCTTCTCTCGCTTCGTTCTCTTTTTGCAACTTTTACTCGTCACTGAACTTATCATCATTAATTCCAAAAGTGTTTTCTCATATTTATTTACTCACATATGTTAATATAAATCATTTTGTTACTGTAATTCATTGTATAAATTCCTAAGTCATAAAAATATTGCGCTGAAGTGACTTAGCTTCTTTTCTTGTAGTTCTCATATAATAATAATAATAACAAATTCATTAACTATTATTAAAATTATTATACGAACGAGAAGCTACAGTTAAAAATGGTTCAGTAGTTGGTTTCATAGTATATGTAGTAACGATTTAAGTTTATTTTGTTCCTGATTGTTGTATAAAATATATGTGGCTAAATTTTTGGGATCGATAATATAAATGCTTACGAAGTTGTCTACAATTACTTTTACCAACTAATTTGTACACAGCAAAAAGTTATTTTCGATTATCATTGAAACGGAGGTATTTTTATACGGAAGGAAAATTATAATCGAAGAGGAAAAAAAGAGTTTTAGTGGATGAAAAAAAAAAAATGTTTTTCATTCTAATTTTGTACCTTTGTACGTAAGCGGATGATTTAGTAAAACGCAACCTCCGATAATTAATCGGTAGAAAAAAAGTACGGGAAAAATTGAATATTGTATTTTTCGATTAGTTCTGTTCGATGAATGTGGTACGCCTTCGATTATGATTTATTCACCGTCTGAGATGAATATTCACCATCGGCAATCTATTTTTGTTATCTTTTTTTACCTACTTGTGAAGTGTTTTTTTCGAACGAGTAAAAATCAACAAACGTTTAATACAGTCCTTTTTAAATTTATTTTTATTTTTACAACAGCTACTAAATACAGAAAAAAATTTTTCAGTTCGAAATAAAGCGATGCAAATGTTTATTACAAAGCTTCTGCTATCATTTTTTTTTTTTTTTTTTTTAAATAAAAATTATTCGTTTCTTGTAAATATTGAACGGTTGAAGTTATATATTATCAACCACCCACTTACGACTCACCCTCAACGCGAGGATATAGAAATAGAAAAAAAAAAAAAAAAACACTCAGTACGATGGATCCGTTTATTATTTCATTTGTTTTCAATATTTTTTCGTGACCCTCTGACCATACGCTGAACGATCGCACTGAGCACTTGACCGCAATCGAGCAACTATTGAATTGATATTTATAACGGTACAATACATATTTTTTTATTCCAAAACATCGATTGGATGGTTTTTGAGTTGAAAAAGAAAAATTATGAACTCACCTCGCGTAAGTAAGTTGTAAGATTTTGCACATATTGTACGTTAGTCTATAACTTTTTTGGACTTAAAAGTGACGGAATATTCGATCTCCGCCATAATTTAATTTAATTGCTTTATGGTCAGGTATAATTGAGTTATTACTAATGGAGACGAAAAATTCACAATTTCGACCTGTATAATTTAATTACCAGCCGAGCTTGGACTATAATTTTCGTTGATGAAATTGATTGTACTGTAGTGATGTCTCGTAAAAAAATGATGAATAATTATTTTATGAGGTACGTTCTATTGATTCGTTCAAGTCGTGTACATACAAAAATCGAACATATACATATATATACGCTATACGCTGTTTGAATGCGAGTCAGTGTCCCTATATATATCTTTTTTTTTTTTTTTTTCACAGAGACCGAACTTGAATCTGGAAATTTTGGAGTCTGATTCCATCGCCAATCTGTAAGAGAAACCATATTATATTAATTGAACGACATTTGCCAAAAAGCTTCGAGAACCATGAAATTGTAAAGATTTTTAGTCACGAGTGAATAATCGTCGGGTAAGTACGAGTCCGGCAACATTTTACAATAATTTTTGACTGCACGCGACATGAAACTATCGAGTGATCGAAATATTTTATTTTACAACTCTATGCCTTGTTTTAATTGTTGGAAAATAATGTTGTGTGCAAGTGTTTTTTCGTAAGATGATCCATGTATGTAAACATTCGCGCATGCGGAAGAGAGCGCGCGTCGTCTGCTCCAACTCGAGCTGTCAGAATGTGTCCACATATATATATATAGCTACGGAGTATATAGTACAATAGGTATATACGTAATGATCTACTAAACAGTGTAGGATGAAATGAAACACTTATAGGTAATACTTTTTTAGTTCTTTGTATACACCCTTTAAAGTCAGTTCTGTGGGGGTATGATTAGTGATTCGGTTGTCGATTAAGTGATACTCCACATACTCTATTAGTTATCGATGCATATAATAATGCATACGAAATCATCCACATCAAACTGGAATCGCTTATGTAAACTGTCGACCTGAAAAACAATTGAAACTCTTTTACGAAAGCTCAAAGTGCACCCTGATGGCGTCTCAAACGAATATAATACACGTAATTACATTCACAGTGGAAAACCTCTAAGACTGTGTATGAGGAGGGACCTAAAATTAATAGATTTCAGATAGAATTAATTGTTAATGAAAAGGATTATGAGATGCCAAACGAAATGTGATTGTCTCGGCTGTGATTTTCAGAGATTTTGTCGTATATGTACACAAAGGGGGCTGCCTCCTCTCTACTCCGGAATGTAAAAGAAGTGAACGATCGAAAGGAAAGAGAGAAATACTCGGCGCTGCGGCGTGTGGTTCTGCTCTGACGTTGTTGTCTGCAGCAGCAGTAAGTATAGTGTCATGCTGGCCTTTTAAAGATCCACGAGCTTTCGAAGGTGAAAGAACGTATACTTATAGGGCCGGAAAGCTATGGCGCAGAGTACAAGTTGTAACTGCAGAATATTAAGCTTACGCTTCGCCGACAACCAGGTCTTGCTGCTGTGATATTATATCCTGACTGATATACCTGGTCGTGTTGTAAGTAATAAAAAGGCACTTATACTTTTGCTTACAACAATTAAATAAAAAAGAAAAGAAAAAAATACGTCGATGAAGAAGATGTTGTATACTACCTACCTGTTTGCTTCTTCTTCTTCTTCCTTTTTTGACCCTCTTTTATTCTCTCTCGCGCCGCAGGCATTTCAGAGGCCGCCGAGAGATAACTGTAAAATGTCATCGGCGACGAATGTGTGTCATATATAGGTGTATTTTTTTGAGACCTATCTCTCCGCGCTTGGCCGCCGCGGATTCATCTTACTTAATTCTCTCTCTCTCTCTCTTTCTCTCTGTCTGGTGAGTCTCGTCTGGTCGTGCTTTTGGTGTGCTCCCGCAGGTTGGTGGCTTTTTGCAATTTTACTGCTTTTGCCCTGTTCTGGTTTGTTGCAGATTTGCTCCCCGGTAGGCTCTTGTGTGATTTGAGTATCAAACTACAGGCTTTCTTTGAGAAAAATTGAGCCACGGAGAGTTAAAATCTGCAACGGAAGCATAGGAGGTTAGGACTCCACTCGCCTTCCCCCCGCCGCACCGCCCATAAACCTTACCACTGGGCCAGCTGATTGGTCGGTCGCCTCGGCGCATGCCCATCGACCATCAACGGGCCAACCTCGTTCAACGACACCTGTGCAGTGACCTGTCAACTTCACCTCTGTTGTCATTACATACAAATTTCTGCTTATCTTGGGCTTCTTGCAATTACCCACAGCCGCACTGCCGATTATTAATCACAGAGAGAATCGTCAACTCACACACCATAGACCTGCGCCTGTGCCAACCACCACCCACACTATTCAATGTGCGCATGCCTTGATTCACTGAGTACAGCGATTGCCATTTGACGCCTGCTACAAACTGTTGGTGTTTTCCCGACGGCTGCCGTGTAAAGTGCTTTGACTCCGCTACCTGCCTTGCCACGCCGCCTGCTTCAGCTACTCTACTATTACTCGTCTACCTCTACTTTTATTATATCTTTTGTAATACGCATGCATTCATGCCAAAATACTGTCTAATTTGTAATATATGCAAACATCCTATTTTAGGGAACCACACCAGAGCCGTCTGCANATACCTTTTATTTTATTTTTAGTTTTAAGTGGCTTACATTTATTTGCCTTGCGCTCAAGTCTGATTAACTCTTCAATTTGTAATCTCACACCTTGCTCTCTTATTGTAATTTGTTTGCACGCTACAATTTTAGCTTATTGAAATTAGTTTTAAGTCTGCTTATCTTACTGTATTATACTTTTCTGGCCAGATGGGGGTCTTCCCCAAGGCATAATAAACACTCTAAACACTCTAAACACTCTTGGTGTCTCGCATCTTTAGAGAGTGCCTCCTTTTACTTTGTTGCTTTTTATACTGCACTTGGCACTTTGATATACATCCTTTGTAATAAATATCCTGTACATACTTGTAACTACTCTTTTTACATACTCTTACAATTTCACAAGTTTCTATGGTTTTCCATCATATGTTACTTTTTTTATTTTTTATTTTCCATTCCAAGTCAAATCCCTGTGGGTGGTCGTTATACTGTGCAAGTATGTGCGAAAATTAAATTTATACAATAACGCAAATGTAACAAGTGTTAAATGAAAAGCTCGCCCAAGTGTCACACTTGAATTTGTAGGTGTACGATACATTAAGTGCGTGGGCTGTGCACTGGTGATCAATTTGCTTGGAGCAAATGAATCTGTCTGCTGATGTGTGCTCCTTTTTTTCTTCCTCGGCTGGATGCTCTACTTATCAGTCATCTCTTCTTGCTGCAGTTGGATTTTCGGTGTAAAGCTCAGGTGCCTACTGTCTAGACACACAGTAATATATACATCCTTACTCAATTGTGCATTCTCTTTCAATTGATACTTATTGACACTCTGGTGCGATCAGTACATGGTATATTGTTTGTGCTGTCGATCCCATGTATTTCCCAGTGTTTCAGAGAGCTTTGCCTGGATTTTCATTGTTGTGTGTGCTTTTCCAGGGCTTGTCTTTTAACCCAGCACTCTGCTCTACTCACAGAGTCTCTCAGTTGGCATTGGATTTGCAAGAAAACTTTGAAATCCATTTGTGCTTATTCAAAAGCACCAGTACTCATTTGAACGAGATTTCAAAGCATTTTCTATATTTAGACAATCTGATAAATTTTTTAAAGAAGCATTTCTATAATTTAAAAAATTTTGTACTTTTAGAAAATAGATTAAGGATATACATATAAGTAAACAAATGCAATGCCTTTGCTTTCAGTAAGTACAGACAAACATGGAGGGGTCAGAGATAACGTTTCTCTTCCAATTTGGATTGACTAGAGACACCATTACCGTGGAGTCTGGTAGTCTGACATTGAAAACCCTCAAAGATCATGCCTGTGGCTTTATCAATGATAAGTATCCTGATCATGGTTTAAGTCAATTGTTTGACAGACTACTTCTCTTCAAGCATGACTACAATTCCACAAACATTTTACAACTCATTACTAATACAACTGAAGTCATAGATGAAACTTTAGTTGAAATTATTGTATCTGGTGAGTTTTATTGTAAAAAAATTATTATATTCGATGTTCGATAAATAAATCATTTGTGTAATGTTTTTAGCTCAAGTACCTTGTGAGCAGATACCCATTAGACCTCATGCACTATCAGTTCATTCATATAAAGCACCAACGTTTTGCGATTTTTGTGGTGAGATGCTTTTTGGTCTTGTACGACAAGGATTAAAATGTGAAGGTAAGTTTGCTTATGATTTATTTTCAGTAAAAAGTTTTAATTTTGTCATTCTAGTACTTTTCATAGACGTGATTTTTACGTAACATTTTTGTTTTATTTAACATTAAAAACACAAGAAAATCTTTGACCTGATAATAAAATTTAAGGTTCCAAGGGCAATCCCCGTTTTTATAGACATTTAAAAATTTTTCAAAGCTTTTATTCTCGTCTGTATGTTGTTTAGCCAATTATTTGATGGAAAATCTTACTTTAAAATATACATTTATTAATAAAATAATTTTTTTAGACTTATTTTTCATTTCACAATTTGTTTTTGTAATATATTACAACTTTGTATTATTTTCTATTGCTTATAATATTTAAACTCTTTGGTACTTGGGCGTGTTGTTGTTAAATAATAAGAAAATAATTTTCTTTAATTTTTTAACTATTTCGTAGAAACTAATAATTGATAATAATTTTTCACGTCTCTTTTAGACATTAATTTATTTGTTTTCTATACGCACTTCTAAGGGCAGTAAAAAATTACTTTCATTATATTAAATATTTAAATTCGTCCGTTAATTGATTTAAAATAAAAAAATAATTCGATCACTCGGAAAAAAAGAAGCGTTATGTTTCGTAAAGACTAGAATTTTTCTAACGTATTTCCATCAAAGTACTTTTATTAGTGGCGACGTACTCATTAAAAAACGCTTACGTGATCCTCATAGCACGTTATCTCTCACTTTTTGTTTTCTTCAAGTAATTAAGTATAAACATGTTTTCTCTTGAAAAAACGAAAAAATTCCATAACAGCAAGATAATATTTTATGTACCAAATACTTTCATAAAACGCTTTTGAAGAAAGCCACTCGAGTAAAGCTATCGCTAAGACAACAACCGCTCGGTTTAACGGGACAATTTAACAAATAAAATCGGTTGTTCGTGATGATATATACTGTGAATACGAGGTTTTGTCGTGTTATTGTTTACTATAATCTCAGTTTTACCTTTGTGTAACTGCCAACTGGTAGGCCTTTTTTTGTTTCAATGAGCCAACGTTAATTAATTCGCATTGATTGTTTAATTTGACAAGTGAATGTGAAAAAGTATGTTATTTAAACGAAAGAGGTCGTTCAAAAGATTTTTCCGGGATGTCTTCTGCAGTGAGTAATTCTCTTGTCATCTATAAGCAGCGATTAACAGAAATTTAATTGTTGCACGTTTAGTTTTGTGCGAATATATTTTTTATGGCCACATGTAAAGTACATGTGTTTATTGACGAATGAAAAACGTGTGACGATGATCTTTAGCAGTTTAAGGGGCAAATACAGATTTATAATGCGATTTTCAAGCATCTCTATATACCTTGACCATATACCTATCAAACGAGTGGCTCTATCATTCGAATCATAAATCCCGATAATACCGAAAACTTTGCACGAAGAGAAAAAAAAAATGTTGTATCGTTGCGATTACAGGCTGTGGTATGAATTTCCACAAGCGATGCGTGGTCAAGGCGCCCAACAACTGTTCACAAGAGCTGGGCCAGAGGCGGCGGAGCTCGACATTTTTGAATGTGCCCAGGTCCCCGAGTCAAGGCTCGACCAGCAGCCTCACGAGCGCCAGCGACGACAACCACAGTGCAACAGTGACTCCAAGTTCAAGTCAAAATAACAGCACTCTCGTACGTACATTTATATTGTATTACGTGGACGTGACAGCCGATGGTTAATCAATAGTTCAATAATTATTTCTCACCGACAAAACCTGTGGACTCGACGAAGCGTAAAAAGACTATAACTTGTCAATTGTTCGCAGGCCATTCCAAGTATAATAACTCCCAAGCAATCCCGTTCGCCGTCGCTTGGCGGACGACCCGCGTGGGTGGAGCGCGAGCTCGCAACCCGTGTCAGGATCCCGCACACGTTCGTGGTCCACACGTACACCCGACCGACCGTCTGCGGCTACTGCAAGAAGCTGCTGCGCGGCCTCTTCAAGCAGGGCTTCCAGTGCAAGGACTGCCAGTACAATGCCCACAAGAAGTGCATTGAGAAGATACCGAAAGATTGCACCGGGGAGAATCCGATCGACGGTGCTGGTGAGAGTTTCTTCCATCCGTTGTAGGAAAAAAAAAAAAAAAAAAAAAAAAACCAATCATAATAAATACTGGTGCAATTGTTGGTCAGGTGGCGAGTACCCTGACAGTGGAGTTGGCAGCGAGCCAGAAGGTAGGGGCGAGGAAGGCCGTAACGAGGAGGGGGACAATGACAGTGACACGGAATCATCTCCCCCGCCTACCCACGTGTCTTTCATGTCAGACGATAACAACAAAGTCAATGGGGAGTACACTGTGAGTCCAAAGAAGTTTACTGACTAGTTCTGCGTGTTGTTTTATACTTTATTCTTTTTTTTTGTTTCTAGGATCACACGCCGACTCGGGACGAATCTTCCGAAGACTTGGATAAGTCAAGACCAGCAAGGTGAGCAAACACCTCTTTTGATATAATTAATTAAATTGATCTTATTTCGATGAAGTAACATGTTGAAATTGTTGTATTTTTGTCGCAGCTCAACTCCTAGTAATAACATTCCGTTAATGCGAATAGTTCAAAGTGTAAAGCACACAAAAAAGCGAGGGTCCAAAGTGTTGAAAGAAGGCTGGATGGTTCATTTCACGAATCGGGATTCCATCGTGAGTTTCAATCGAGTGTCGAATCAATTCGTACGTATGGTAGTTCAAGTCACTTATTGGACTTTGTTTTTTTTATTTCAGAGAAAAAGATATTTTTGGAGACTCGACACAAAAGCAATAACATTGTTCCAAAGCGACGCCGGGTCAAAATACTACAAGGAGATTCCACTATCGGAAATTTTAGCAATTGAAACTGCCAGAACTCCCCGAGGTGGTGGTAAGTTGCGTTAATTATATTGACATTCCTACTTCTCATACGTGAGTTTTGTTAATTTTAACATTATTTCGTTCTAGAATCAATGCACTGCTTTGAATTATCAACGACTAATATTGATTATTACGTTGGGGAGGATTTGTCTTACGGTTATGAAAGAGGTCAACCGCCACCACCAGAAAGTGGAGTTGGTGCCCATTTAGCTCGATCTTGGGAGACGAGCATCCGACAAGCTTTAATGCCCGTCACAACTTCTACGAGTACGTAAAATTGTTGTATAAAATTTTGACGTGGTGCACAGGTGTTGATTGTTGAAATTTCAATCGCTCAATTTTATAGATCAAGAATCTGAATCGTCAGAGCCCGAGGAAAATATAACAGACATGTCACAGCTTTACCAGATTATTCCAGATGAAGTTCTGGGCTCTGGTCAGTTCGGGATCGTCTACGGAGGAGTTCATCGCAAGACTTCCCGGGCCGTTGCCATTAAAGTCATTGATAAATTGCGCTTTCCCACCAAACAGGAAGCTCAATTGAAAAACGAAGTGGCAATCTTACAAAATCTGTCGCATCAGAGCGTAGTGAATTTAGAGCGAATGTTTGAAACTCCGGAGAGAATTTTCGTGGTAATGGAAAAGTTAAAGGGCGACATGCTAGAAATGATACTTAGTTCGGAAAAAGGCCGGCTCAGCGAGAGAATAACGAAATTTTTAATAACGCAAATTCTCGTCGCTTTGAAATATTTGCACAGCAAGAACATCGTGCACTGTGATTTGAAACCCGAAAACGTTTTGTTGAGCAGCAACAGCGAGTTCACGCAAGTGAAACTGTGTGACTTTGGTTTTGCGAGGATCATTGGTGAAAAAAGTTTTCGAAGAAGTGTCGTCGGTACACCAGCGTATTTGGCACCTGAAGTCTTGAGAAACAAGGGCTACAATCGTTCGTTGGACATGTGGAGCGTTGGAGTTATAGTATACGTTTCCCTTAGCGGAACTTTCCCTTTCAACGAGGAAGAAGATATCAACGAGCAAATACAAAATGCCGCCTTCATGTATCCAGCAAATCCATGGAAGGAAATATCTGATGATGGTAACTATCCCCTGAAAAATTTTTATCGTGTTTTACCGATTTCACCGTTCATATCAAATTTAAAATAAAATCTTTTTTTGCAGCTATTGATCTAATTAATAATTTACTCCAAGTGAAGCAACGAAAGCGGTATTCAGTCGACAAAAGTTTGCTGCACATTTGGTTACAAGTGAGTGTCGATTACTTTTATACAGAACAAAAAAAAAAAAGTCACTTTTTTTATGAAAATTCATTCAAACAGGACTATCAAACGTGGTGTGACTTGCGCGAATTGGAAAGACGAGTGGGTTGTCGTTATCTGACGCACGAAAGCGACGATACGCGCTGGGAAAACTTTTTATCTGGTAACGCGGCCGCTGCTGCGCCACCAACAAACGACGTCGACGCGGACAACGCATGACACAGTCATAGTTTGCTGTCAGATATTTCAGAGGCTCAACAACCGACGCCCTCGTCGTCACCCCTCGGCAAAGGTTGGCTACGCACTTTACGCGATAGCCTGAGGCGCTTTATACGTGCCTGACCCAGTGGAACTTATGCTTAAGGGTAATTTGTACTCAGCATGTCTTCACCGAAACGACACTTGCGTCCTTTCAACTTTTACTCTCAACATTCTTGTTATTGTTCTTCTTCTTCTTCTTCCTCTTCTTGTACTCAACGGTAGGACGTGTTTTTATGCTCGCGTTCTTGATGGTAGCTAGGTTTTTGTTTCATGAAAAAATACCTCGTAAGCTCTGTTATCTTATTAAAATTTTATTGCTTACGAACAAATTTTAATTTTAACTCGTACGAGTAACACATGAAATAAGAATGAAAAATTTACTTAGTGCATGAATTTTGCACTTTTAGTTGTATTGATTATAGAATGTAAAATTGTTTACCAGATTTTTAACGCATTTATGTGGATGATAATTCACTTTGTTTAATATTTTTTACACACAAATGAGGTGAAATTGATATATTTTTCTTAGGTAAGTTTAAGCATGTGTATACAAACTTGCATAGTATTTTATTTCAAGGATACACGATCTTCTTACATCAATTATGAAAAAAAATATTTGAATTTTATATAATGCTTTAAGCTCTTTAAATGAGGAAAAGGTTAGGCTGTTGCAACTAAATGGAATTTCATAGAATTTTTCACGAATGAGGATTGAGAGTGAGTATTTGTAATACAGAAAATTAAAAAACTTACTAGCATTGAATATTTAATCGATACAATAATAAATGGCAACATTATTACAGTCGAATATAACGTATACATTTATCAAAGACTTTACATTAAAACATTTTTATAAAATACCATAAGTCATTACCAACCAATTAATAATATTTTTTTAATGCAACATTTTTGAATCCTAATAAAATTGTAATTAAGTACGACGATAAGTAAAATGTTGTAAAAAAATACACAAACATTTTGTAGCAATTTTACTAGAGTGTACTTATGATTCGTGCCACTGATTGAATCGTTTCAATCAAGTCGAGTAAATAAAGAGTATAAACTTAATCGTTCCAATATCAATAGTAGAAAAATAAACTAAACCTCGAGCATTTACAAACCACTTGTTTTATAACGCAATATTAATGCATTTTTATACATTCTCAACCAAAAGTGGTGCATAGAAAAAAAAAAAAAAAGGAGAAAAGTAGGTACCTTACCGAAAAAATACTTGACATTTTTATCAAGTACGAGTGATTTGTTAAACATACAACTAATGATCTTCCAATTGGGATAACTAAAGTTATATTGTGATAGCATGACCCTTGAAATTATTTTCAATTGGAATCAAGATGTATACGTAATAAAATTAGACACCCCCACGAATTTGTCGTGCCCAACGAGCATTCCATATTTACACCATTCCATCACATATACTCAACTGGTTTTTCAATATTAGTGTACCACTTGCTTCTATGCAAGTAAAACAAAAATAATTATTTATAGCGTACTAGAAAAAAAATCATAGCGAATGCTGTAATATTTTGTAATATGCCAGTGAATAACATTTTCATAATCGTCAATTGCAAAATTTTATTTTGCGAATCATTCCATTCATACATTCCATTTTCATCGACTTTTATGATTATTTAAATGCTTTGATCCCAAAAATACAACTGACATTACTTCAAATTAATACCGAAAAAACAATAACGTTAAAATGTAACAGATTTTTATGATAAGAAATAATGTATACGTATAACACTGCTCATGTATTTGCAAACCATAGATTTTTTGCAAACTATTTACGCCCTATAGGGTTTATAGATTTGTAAGAAAATTTTGTTGATTAACGTACGCTGTTCATAAATACAATTTTTTATACATACACAAGGTACTACGAAAAGTTAGATAATATCTAAGTACAGACGCAAGTATATCTTATATTTGTTGAGGGTATACATTTATAACTATAGTTTTGTAAAAGTGTGTCAATATACTATGGAATACAGGATATTGTATTCATTGCAACGTAAAATGTTTAAAATTTTTAATTTGTATTCCAATGGGCAATTAAAAAATATTTACTTAAATGTATTTTGTACTGAGGAATTTTTAATTGTTTGTTAATAGCTTTTCCTCGGATTGAAGCAATTTTTTGTCAACTGTAATATTTATAAATAAATTTTGTGATTTGCTGAAGTAACCTTCGGACTTGCGTGTATTGGGATTTTTAATCCCATACATATTTTATTGATGTTATGATATATAATTTATCTTTATTAAATTTATTAAACTTCATCTCATGATTTGTATGCGCTAGTACGTTATTTTTCAAATTACGAAATATAAAAATTTAATATTTTATATTTGTATTCATGCACGTGTATAAACTCATATTCAAATAATAATATATAGTAAATTTGGAATCTATAAGTAGATCTGCTTTATTGTTTTTTTTTTGTTTTTTGAATCAGCAAAAATATTTCATATGCCTAATTTGAACGCTGCTCTATGTTTTTATTTAGTTTACCTGAATAAGCATTGTTTTTCAAGCTAACATAAGTTACGAAGAAACATTTTTCACTACTACGAAATGTTTTTACTGATTATTTTGGAGCACTGTAATACAGCTTTATAGACGATAATTAAAACTAACCGAGAAAACTTATATTCAATTTAATAAATACATAACGACATGATAAATTGAGTGCGAGTATTTATTTATTTTTAAACAAAAAAATTATTGTTGTAAGTCGTAATTTGTGTTGATTTGTTTGTTTTGGAAAAAAAACAACGTTAAATTTGGAGTTATACGTAATCACACGAATATATATTGCAAGTATATACTCTGCCCATGAATAATAATCGCTGCGAAAGTTATTTGTGCTTGCAGCTTATAGTATTAAAATATTTTTAAAAACCGTGTCTTTTTAGCATAATTGCATGGAATTTCGTTTAATGATATTTAACGCATTTTTATAAATATAATAACAAAAAACCATAATATTTATGATAATAATAAACCGTAATTGATCGAGAAAAAAAAAACATTTGTCGTCAAAGTGTGACAAAACATACATAAATCATGGTGTCAAAGCGAAATAACATGTTGCACGTAAAATATTGCAAATTCAGCAAAAGGTCGGTACAAGACAATTGGGTACAAAACAATGAGCGTTTACTTTAAAAAATGGCCTAATTAGACGTATGAATAGTATTGACCTTGCGTATAATATGATGATGTACACAATGAGATTCAGCGTAGAATACTTTATAGCTTAAAGTCAAAGGTACGATTGTACTTCGTAAATATATAAAAAAAGGGATATTGTAACCATAGAGGATTTTTCCACTGACCTTTGACATATTGATTAAAATTGCATATATTATACTCATTTAAGGGTATTTCTTATCAGTCTAACAGTATTATATCTAAGGTTGTTCGAGTAAAGAAAAAATATATAAACAATGATCATGTGAACAGTGTAATAGTTTTTCTGTATGGTAAGGTAACGAAATAAATCACATTTTATACTCTCGCATGGATATGTTATTTGAATTTTCATGTGTCCTTTCGGTGATGGTTTTAATTTTAAGTCTTGAGCATTATGAAACAGCACTATCGACTTTTCATTTTAAAGAGTACTTTGCAATTGCATAATGAACAGAATAAGATTTTATTGAAAATTATTTTTTTTTATACGACAAAATAGTACTACTGAGCAATGATTATTATACATCTGATTTTTGTTTAAATCAGGGATAAATCAACAAGTAAATATTTTTATCGTAAAATTTTATACAATTTCGTATAATGATTATTGTAATCACAATTTAAGAAAGTTATTTTTTCACCATGTGGTAGTTTTGTTCGAATTTTAAACCAACCACATTACAAATAACAGGCTTGATTCAAAACTATTCCAGATTTTTATTTCGATAGGATATAAGATAGGACTAGAAGGATAACCTCCTGCTCCTCCTAACTGTAATCAAACATATTTATTTTTTATTGGTTGGTGAGAAAAATTAAATCGTTCGCTGTTTTATAAAAAAAACAATTTGAATCTTAACGTTTATTTAAATAATTCCGCATTCGTTTATCAAAATTTTGTTTATTAATTTATCCACTCTAATTCAAGCCATGTTATCAGATAAGAAAATTCAATCAAATCTCGAGTAAAAAAGAATTTTCAATTTTTTGTTTGTTATTTTGATACACTGTTACACATTTTGTCCTGTACAAAATAGATTTAGTCAAACTAGGCTTGTACCTTAAGTGACTTGAGAAAAACGTTATTAATAAATTCATCACGTGACTCATATTTTTTTAAGCTAGGAAAAATAATAATATTTGTAACATGGTGTTGTAACTTACATTTAATTTAGTGAGCATTTAACCGCTGTCATAATCATGTTCGTTGGTAAAGTAGACGAGAAAAATAACGTAAGAATTTTTTTAATAAATACGAAAATTTACCGCAACCATTTCGTTTTAAAAACTTCGAATTAAGTTTGTATTATAGTTGTTAGTGATAAACAATAGTCACCAACATGGCCAACAGCTAAACGTGTAAAATCATGCGATTTGAAATAAAATATAAATAGTAGACTAAAGTTTTCAAACGCTTCCAGAAGTTATAATTTACGAGTAACGGTTACACCAAATGTTGGCTCACACACGTGAACAGAAAAATCATCTTTGTTTGCGCGACTCTGAAAATTTTTGTACCGTAACAAAATGACAAGCTCACGCGATATCATACACGTTTCTCTCTTTTGCTTTTTCCCCTCGTGTCCTTGTCGTACAAAAATTTTAAGATAACAGACTTGCTTCCTTGTACTTGTACTGCACGCTTTTACCTCGTAATGTTGAGATTGTAAGTTGTTCGACGTTTTAAACTCGTAGGTTATTTCTCATATTCATAAGGCAAGAGGAGATTTTTTCTAAATTATTTATCAATTTTTTTTTTCCATCAAATTTTTAGGAATATTTTTTTTATTACAAAATTATTTCACCGAATCTATTTTGTATGTGATATTTACGAAGGTATTTTTCAAGCATCTGGATAATTTTTAGCAGTAAATATGCGTACTTTTAGGATGTATTTATACATTTTGTTATTTTTATTCGTTCGAAAAAAAATTTTTTTTTTTTATTTAAGAGATGAAAACTGATTAAATAGTCTTCATCATACGAATTTCAATTGTAATGTAAATCATTACACATGGCAATTATTTTTGGAATTTTTCTTTTTCATCAATATTTTTAATTTAATAGAAAAATATTTTTAAAAAACTGACTTTTGAAGACAATAAAATTTCCAACAAACCACGCCTGAAAAATCACAAATAAAAACAAAGAAAAGTTAGTTTGTATTTTTAGATCGTTGATTTTTAAAAAATTTCGTTTTTATTTGTACATGATTCCGGCGAGAGTGAAATTTTGATACTCGAACAAGAACGAGTTCCGTTTCCAGTCCAGAAATTTTTTAGAACGCGCTATATGTTTACTGGGTCTTATAATCTGAGCTATTTAAATTTCTCCATGTACGTTATTTGAGTAATTTTAAATTTACTGTTTTTACCCTTTTTAAAAAGTATCGAGAAGGTTATTAAATCTAAAAATAGCGGCAAGATATCTTCATAAAAAAATTAAATTACAACAGTTTGGAAACTCGTTCCAAGTAAATTTATTTTAAAATACACTATTACTACTGTAAATTAAAAAAGTGTAATCTTTTAAAAATCATAATTAATTAATTAAAAAATGTTGTCTCAATGTCAGTCGACTTATAATTAATTTTAGTTGAAATAAAAAATTTTCTTTTTTTTTTCGTACAAAGATTACATACATGTTGATCAAATAAATCTTAAAAAAAAAAAAAAAAAAAAAATTCAAGACGCTTCATTCAAAAAAACAATGCTAAATCACCATATGAAATTTCCTAAGCAAATTCTAATGATAAACTAGTGGAACAATTTTGTTTCCAGTAAATATGGCACACTTGGAGAACAGAAACCGAAATTTAATAAAAAAACTAATATTGTTATCAAAATTGTCACGCTTGTGGGGCGGCTGGGTATAGAGACTGGTAATCTGAAAATCATCCCCAAACCCGTTGACTCAGCAACAGTCGAAGAAGGTTCACTCCGAAGTAAAAAAAAAAAAAATAAATAAAATAAAAAAAACGACCCACGTCGTGGACACAGAGGAGGACAAGTCGAAAGCAAAGGAGGGCCAACATCCTGCGAAAGGGAGGCCAACGTTTTCCCCGGCGCGGCCGCGCTCGCTGATTTTCAAGTCCTCGGCTAATGGCCGGGTAATCTCTTGGCGTGGATAAGTGGAATCGCGCCGGCGTGTCCTAGAAGCCGCGGCCGAAAAAAAAAAAAAAAAGAGACGCGGCAGTCACAGTGCGACGACGACCAAGAGACGAGGCTTTCGTTATAGTGTCGCGCGGACGCTCGGCAAAAGCGAAACGTATACAATTTTCACAATACCTTCGATGTCCCGAAAAGGCACACCCGGACCAGTGAGGGTCTAGAAGCCCCGCGTGACCATTGTCCCCTCGCGGCGATGAGGCGTAAGAAAATCGGTTGTCTGGGACTCGAACGATAGAAAAAAAAAAGAAAGAGAAAAATAACGCAAAATGTGCCGATTCGCGCTGGTGGCCGTTGCTCTCGCGCTCCTGTCGGGGGCTCGCGCCGAGTGGGTCGAGATACCCCAGTTCTCCGATCGGGGTAAAGTTTACAAGCTGCCGCCCATACAGTTCCCTCAGAGCGACGGACTCGAGGGGTCCACCTTCCACAAAGTAAGTATGCCTCCGTTGATTGTTGCTCAAGTCTCATGCCACCCAAAAAAAAAGATGCTGATTTGCCGCGTGTGCGCGTCGTTTAGGGTCTGCGCAACGTCAGCGGGGTGTTCGACAGTCCTCGGCCGGTGGAGCCGCTGTTCGACGCTACCATTGTGAGCTTCACCACGGAAAGGACGGTGAGCACCGTGGGCGTCGTCCAAGACCCGGAGTCGGCCGAGGACGCGACGGAGGAAGTTGAAGGGCAAATGTCCCACGTACGTAAAAATGGCACTGCCGTGCATACTCGTCGAGTTTAGCGAGCGGTACGACGAATCGGTGCTCTTTGGACTTTCTTTTTTTTTTTTTTTTTTTTTTTATAAATATTGCAACTTTTGGTCAATATTCAGGATTTTTACTTATTTTTTCGCTATAGTCTTGGAAATAAAAATTGTTTTCTATATTTTTAGCACGGTACGTTTTTTTGAAAAGTTTTTGCTCCACTCTGAAAAATTTACCTCCAAGTGTAATAAATTTCGCTAAGTCCGGAAAAGTATCAGTTTTTTAAATTAACAAACCATTTGAGTTTAAATAAAATTACTATGAACATTTTGTTTTTGGAAAAACCACGCTTATTTTTCATCACGTTTTTAATTAAATTATACATGTTTTTTAATCGGAATGATTCACAATGCAAAAAAATATAAATAAATAAAATTGAATGCCCATCATATTTTTTCGATCATTAAGAATATATAATTAATAAAATATTATAACTTACATCATATTTTATTAATGCTTTGAAAATTTCTAATTAATTGATAGAAAAACAAATGATGTAACAATGATGATTTTGTTAAGTTGTATGGTAAAGTCGATAAAAATAAATCATTTTTCGTGCACTAAAATGGGTGTATAAACTCGATAAACTTATGTGTATGATTCTAGTTCGACTCACCTCCATCTGTAGATGATACAGGACAGAGTGATGGTGCAGACTCATCGGAGACGATAACGAAAGCATCAATTCCTAATACATCAGAGTCAAACCAAACTTTCAATAAAACTGATAATGACAAAGGATTCCTCGACTATCTACCTGTTGATCTTTTGAAACGGGTGCACAAGACCCTCAAGTCTCAGCCACCCAATTTGATAGGGAAGATACGATTTTTGAAAATGTTCGAGAAAACTTTGCTGGAAGAAATAAGTATGGATGTTTCTTAGTTAAAATATTATTTATTTAACTTTCTATTTTTTTTTTTTTTTTTTTNGTTCTTTTCTCAATTTGATCATATACTTTAGAAAAAAAAACTTAAAGAATACACCATGATATTTTTGTTAATTTAAAAACTTTGATCAATGGTAAATTAAACCATTTTCTGCTATTGTGGAAGAAATTTTTTTTTTCTTTTTAATTTGATTTCCATACACCAGACACGTTTCATTCGTTAAATTACCAACGTCGTGTAAACTCAACTTCAATTATACAGAGTCGAGGATAAGCCACGCCCTGGCACCCACGCGAATACCCAGAGAAGCCCGAGAACACGATGAAGGACTGGGGTTCCCGTCACTTGAAGGGGCTCTAATGGCCATTTCGTTTTTGACATTTGCTGTCTACTTGGTCAGATTAGTCATGGTAGGTATATATATCTTACGTATGGATTATTGAATTTTGTTACTTTTTTTTTATTGGCTGACATTTAACATACAAAATTCATGTTATTTTTTTCATTTCCTAATTAACGATTGTCTTCATTTATTTTTGAAATATTGGCATCACAGTTGTAAAATTAACTTAATGGAACTGACAAATATATATTTGCAGTTGCTTTTCCGAAACGCAAACAACAATACCGCGGGAGCTTCGATTTTGATTGGCAGGAAAAAACGATCGATAGACCACATGGATGAAGAAACGGCGAGGATTCTTAGTTATTTGGATACGCCGTTACCACTCCAGTATTGATTGATTTGTATAACGAAATTACATTTGTCGATGTGAAAAATAAAATAGTTTGTATTGTTTTAATGATACTATAATGTCACCGAAATTAAAAATTGTGATTTTTTTAGCAGCAAACAGTGTTTGTTTTCTTACTCCTTACATTGTGCTTGCCCGCGCAAAGGTATTGTATATTTGCAATAATTTTCCTTCCCATACAAAACTGAATTTAGAGCTCACAAATTTGTCAAATATTAAAAAAAAAATACATTTCAATTATTTTGATGCTAGTTGAAAAAATAATTAAAATTGCTTGTATCAATTTAAAAATATTAATTTTCATTTCATTGTTTTTATTAGACAGCATTATTGAATTTTTCAATAATAAAAAAGTAGTGATATTACGATTACGTGAGCTGTTTTGTAGTAATATAGGGTGCATTAGAGTATCCATTTTACTTCCTTAATTTTATTTCTAACCACTGAAAATAACACTACTTTTACAAAAGAAATATTCGATTTTAGTTATAATTTTTTTGCTTTGCATGTAGTATAGTTCCCTATATATATAATGTAGTATAGTCTATATATATAATATAGTTCCCACACATGATTGTGTGCACATACATTCGTAAATTTCTAATAAATAAAGGTAAACATTTGGTAATATTCTATGAATCAAAAGAGTTTTGAAATATATATATACTTAATAATAAAATGTAATTTTGAGGTAAAAACGTGGCCCGTATTTAGCGCGCGCAAATTTTTTATACTTCATCAAGTACATTCGATTCCTTCGACTTCTTTCGACCGTCGTATTCCGAGAATAACATATATATATATATATACACTGGCCTAAATCTCGAACGTCTCACTTGAAAACTTTTTTGGGCACGTTGGCACTTTGGAGTTTGGAGTTTGGAGTCTCCAAATTGAAGACACGGAGACACACTTATTTGTCAGTTGTCAGCTTGCCATTTGTCAGGCTGGCCAGTAACAGATACAAAAATAAATGCTCAATAATATTGCATTGAAATTTCTTTCGTTCAAGTTATTTTCGCATTTTTTAACAAAAAATTTAAAGAGGACGATGGCTGATTCGATGGACGTTTTTAGCATCATTGAAAATTTAGCTAAAAATCAGTACAAAAAGGTTTACCGAGGCGACGTGCAATATGGAACCGCTGGCTTTAGAACAAGGTGTGTTTTTGGCTAATTTTTGGTCGTTTACACTAATGTTTACGATCTCGTTCTGTAGTGGTTTTTAATAAAAATAACTTTTTCGCTAGAGCCGATCACCTTGATCATGTATTGTACAGAATGGGATTGTTAACGGTTTTGAGATCTCAAGCAAAAAAAGGTAATACACGTTATACATTTGTTTTTTAAGCGCTAAATTAAGAATTTATTCATGAATCGATGAGAAAAAAATTTTTTTAACCATTTTTAGCTGTCATTGGAATAATGATAACAGCAAGCCACAATCCAGAGGCAGATAACGGAGTTAAGCTTGTTGACCCTCAAGGTGAGATGTTGGAGGCATCCTGGGAAGAAATCGCGACCAAGTTTGTCAACGTTGATGATGACAAAGTCGTCTCAACTCTCCGAGAAATCATAAAACAGGAGAACATTGACACAAGTTTTCCTGCATCTGTCATTATTGGCAGAGACACGAGAAAGAGTAGTTTGCCATTGTCTCAGGCTGCAATTGCCGGAATCAAGGCTATGAATGGGAAACTACAAGATTTCGGAGTCGTCACGACACCACAGCTCCATTACTTAGTTGTCTGTACAAATACAAATGGTACTTATGGAATACCTACATTAGATGGTTATTATGAGAAAATAAGCAAGGCCTTTAAGACTGTGGCAGGCATGACAAATGATAGGGACAAGTACTTGGCTAGGCTACAATTGGATGCTGCTAACGGGGTTGGTTCTATGGCTATCAAAGAGTTTAAAACCCGACTTTCTGGTGTGCTCGATATTGAAATTTTCAACAGCGGTGATGGAGAACTCAATCTCAATGTAAGAGATAACAATCACCACTCTTTACATAGACAATGATCAGTTTTTGTTTTTGAGAGTAAGTATAGATCATTCAGTGATACATCGATGAATTTCAGTGTGGAGCAGATTATGTTAAAATTCAACAAGTACCTCCACTGAACGTTCCATTGCAACCGTATGTCAGATGCGTCAGTATTGATGGAGATGCCGACAGAGTGGTTTATTACTTCACAGATGATCAAAACAAATTTCACCTTTTGGATGGTGACAGAATTGCTATTCTGATGGCTGCTTACTTGAAGGAGTTACTTTTACAAAGTCATTTGGACGTGCAACTGGGACTGGTACAAACGGCCTATGCTAATGGAAGCTCTACCGCATACATCACCGACACTTTGGTAAAAATCATTTTAAGTTTTTAAAATTCAGAGAAATTACATAAACTATACCCTAGAATTAAAAAAATTTTCTTATTCACTTTCTACTTTTCACACTTCACTTAAATCAATGAGTTATGGAAAAAAGTCTGCAAACATTTAATAGGTATAAAAATAGCTTAGTCCTAGTTATATTAATTAGCGAAAAAAAATGAAATCTAGCTTACTTCCTTGGTTAACACTTTTTTTAAACAATGATTAGTAAAACTTTGTTTACTAACTCTAGTTAATCTGGAAATTCATGTACATCACTTTGAATTTGACCGAAATTTTACAATACCTATACTTTTAAAAAAGATGTGAGTGTTTTTTCTTTGATAACGCAAATAGTGGAAATTTTGAATTTCGTGCTCCTCCTGTACGAAATGTGTTTTTTTTTGTGTACAGTTATCACGTGGCCGGGTTCTCCGTGCAGCGACACATTTGTAAACAGATTCGGTATATTTAAAAAGTGACAGCCCCAAGTTTCCAGTTTTTTAATTATTATTGGTTATTGTAAAATTTTACAAACTCTACATATCATTTTGTAAAATTATTTTAAGTATCTCAAATCATTGCATTCAACGCAAATCTGCTTAATAGTTTTAATCAAAAAATGATTATCTCCCTTATGAGGTTATGTTTGGGTGTTGCATGCATGTAAACACTCGAAATCGCATCATAAATCATAACAATTAAACTGAAATAGCATATTTTCTTGAAAGCACATATACTTATACCTAACATAAGTAAACAATGGAGCGCAACAGAGTGTACAACTTTGTCAAATCGCAAGTACAATCTAAATTACGCGAATACACGTTGGGAATACATTCACACTATTTGATCCCTGGACCCAACAAACATCAATTTACTGAGAACGATGAAGATAACGACACGAATTTTGACCTTTTCGAGACAGAATTGTTTCAAAGATATCCTTACTACTGTGATTTTCCAAAACCACTTTTGCCTCCGGGCAAAGATCAACGGGACTGCTATGGCAGGGAAGATGCAACTATGCAGCTTATTCACACAAAAGCCAGAATAGATTACGATGTTGACGTGTATGTTAAGCGTTATACAAAGTGTTTGAAAAAATTGGAAGAAGCCAAGTTTGATCCAAAGAAAGTTAAGTGGGACAGGGACCAAAAGAAATGTACATTGCCCAGATGTGCTGCCGAAACAGCAGAAATTCTAGATTGCGATCCAGATCCGTACTTTTCTGGAAATTACAATTGGTATTACAGTGGTGGTACTCTCAATGGAATTTCGTCTGGCACCAGGAATATCCTTGTTTTTCCCTATGCCGGGGAGCTGGTTGCCCTCCCAATAGAACTGAACGATGACTGTTTTTTCGTACCAAACTACAAGTACGCCACAAAAGTACCTGTTAAGGACAACATTTACCAAATAAATTGTTCTGCCTTCAACAACAGCGGAAGAGTATTGATTAGACACAAAAACACCTGCCATCTCTATAATCTTTGCAATTTAGCTGAAAAAAAGCTACGAATCATGAAAATAAACACTCAAACGTCAGAAGTTCCGTTAATATCAACGGATCTCAATCCATCGGATTTAAATCAATATTGCACTGCAAACGTAGAAAGAAATGTAGCAATTTACGATGTGCAGGAAGAAAAAATTGTAACTCAAGGAATCATTTCATCTGACAAGTCTTTACCAGACAATTGGGCTTTCATAAAGTACGACGAAGCCGATGAGAATATCATAAAATTCGTGGACAGGCACTGTGTTTATCACTGCGACGAGAGGCAATCGATAAATACACCAGTACTTACCCTGAGCCCTATCAGTGCACTGGAAACGTGCGAAAGTATTTCCGTGTACATTGCCAGCTGTAAAAGCGACTACTACTCTTACGTAGGATCGAACCACAATTTTTCCTTGTTGGACCAAAGGTTTCCTAAAAATCCTGTAGTCAAAAAGTGGACTCATCAATTCAAAAGCTGTCCACTCTTTGCCGATGTTTGCTACAGAGAACAAAAAGAGTTTGTCGTGTTTGCCAGTCAACTGGCCGAAGAGAAGGCCTTGATCTTGAACACGTGGAGCTCCGACCAAGTGGCACCCCAAACTTGCAGCATACCCTACACCCCACCCAGTTACATGGACACCTTAAGCGAAGCTCAGTACCAAGGCAGGTGCCTAAACCCTTATCTGCGCAAAAGATTGCAGATGTGCAGCACAGGCTGTATGGCCACCGTTGATCAGTCCAGCGGAGGCATATTCCTGTTGGCTCAGAACTCTGCCAACGACATTTTTTACCAAGCAATAGCCCACAACGAGCCTGTAGATGATCATTCCTTGCACACGAGCTTGTACAAACTAGACATGTGGGACAGGCAGTACCAGAAGATCACTCGCCACGACGTGATAGCTCCTTTGATAGTGACCAAGAGAACGAGCGCCCGTAACGTATTCCGCAACTTTAGCAACACGAAACTTCAGGTCAAGGAAAGTAGCAAGGAAGTTCAAGACGACGAGGAGGACTTTCCGGTCCTGGATCCAAAGTGGAAGAGGTCCGTGGCCGAGTTGAACGTGTACTGTGACATTTTAGCTCCAGAGCTGAGGTTGCCTTGGGAGATGATGGAGGAAACTGCGCTCGTTCCCATAGCCGCAGCGCCCCATCAGAAGGTTCTCTCTTGGCTCGGACGCAACCAGGAAGATCCGGAGAGAGAGGCCATAGAGATGGTTGACGGGCTCCAGCAGCCGGAACCTCTCGCCTTTGTCAAGAGCCAAGAGGTGGAGGTGACAGTCGATCCAGAATTCGAAGGCCTACAGGATAGCGAGATGCTGCATCTGTCCCTGCCACAAGTCAGGAGGGACACGCCGGCTCGCAAAAAAAATCCCAGGCGATCGCTGTACGTTCCTGGATTTTAGGTGCCAAATCTGCTACATACTTAAAGATGTTCATAGAGGAAGTAGGAATAATTATTGTGACTACACTTTTTTGACTCTCTAGACTTGAAACGATGTCCATTAGTATACGTTATCTGGTGCGAATTTGATGCAAAGTTCGATGTTTAAGTCTTTCTTTCTTTTTTTTTTTTTACACTTGACACTTTTGATTTTTTTTATTATTTATCGTTTTGATTTTCTGTAGTTGTATTTTATCACTTTTGTTGTCTCTATAACTTATTTAAGAGCATTTTTTTACAATGTAACATGTAAGGACACTCTATCTATTCGATGAGGAATGAATAAAGCGATTGTAATTTCTCTAAATTGAAAAAAAAATCTTATACATAACATGTTATGTGCTTACACATCTAAGATCCTACTATGTTGATTGAATGACAACTAGAAAGTACCTGTGGCGTGTGTACCAACTGGCGTAAAGTACTTGCACCACAAAGCTTTGGAGTTCGAAATTGGTGTTTATTTCGAAGCAAACGGCCACGGCACTGTTATTTTCAAGGATTCGGCTGTTCAAAGGATCCGATCTGTGGCTTGTGACAAAAGGTCTCGATACTTTTTGCACTTTCTCTTTTTAATTATCTTCAAATGTATTTGAAAAGCCTTGATTACTCAAGAGTGAATTTGAATTGTTATTCCCAGTATTCCTGAAAGTCAGCAGCTAGCAGCTCGGAATCTGAGCCACGTAATCGACGTGATCAACCAGACTGTTGGCGATGCCATAAGCGACATGCTTGTGGTCGAGCTTATTTTAAGGGCCAAAGGTTGGGACGCGGCTGCTTGGGAGAAAATGTATCAAGACCTTCCGTGCAAGCAGGTGAAGGTCAAGGTTCAGGACAGAAATGCCATTACGACCACCGATGCGGAAAGACGTTGCGTTTTGCCGAAAGGACTGCAAGAGCGAATCGATGAGATTGTCGCCAAGTACTCGAAAGGAAGATCTTTCGTTAGGTAAGCTTGCAAGAATGCAAGTTTTTATTTTTATTTTTACCGTAGATTTTTTGTAATATATTTCTAACTGGTCTGTTGCAGACCTTCTGGAACTGAAGATGTCGTACGAGTCTATGCGGAATGTGAAAATGCGTCTGATATCGAGAAATTCACTGCCGAAGTGTCGCTGGCTGTGTTTCAATTGGCTGGAGGAGTTGGAACCGAACCTGTTGTGCCATCATAAAAGCAAGAATGATGTTTTTTGCCAATTGTTTGATTGTGATTGAAATTTTATATTGTTACTACTTGCATTTATATTTTTACATGTCAGATCATTTGATTTTATACATCAACTCAACAAAGATTTTTAGCGAAATACTAAGATGTATATTTTAAGTGATCTTGGATAAAATAGGCATCTACCGTGTTATCATTTAACTAAGAATGTGTTTTAAGAAGCTTTATCATTGAACAAGAATGGTTTGTAGTAATTTCAAATGACGAATATTTTTGTACAATAAAACTTTGTAAAAAAAATTTATGAATTTTTATAAATAAATTTAAAAAATACTATGATAAGATTGTGTCACGTAATTTAAAATAACATAAACCCCAGTAGTCTTTGTTGCGCCACTTGGTAGGTATGACAACTGTATTGATTTCTGAAAACTATTACGAACCTGAGTGTGATATAAAAAATATAGACCACGTTTCATTGAAAATTATAATTTAAATCAAAATGTGGCAAGACAGTCAAGTGAAATTTGATGTACCTGTTTCGTAAGTGATTTAAAATAAGAGTGTTTAAATTATACATGAATTCATCCGAAATATTTTTCTATATAGTCTAAAAAATTATGGAACAGAACACGGTATTATAAAAAATATTTATTTTTAGTCAAATGGACTTGAGAATCGGAGAACATTTGATTGATAAATTAGAAATGATTGAAGACACTAAAGGTAATGCAGGTGATCGTGGTTGTCTTATGATTACGAATTTAAGGATTATGTGGCATTCCATATCTCATCCACGTGTCAATCTGAGTAAGATGGTTGAATAAAAAAAAGATTCACCCACAACTTTCAAACTCCATGTAGTAATATGTTTTAGGTCTTGGCTTCAATACATTTTTAACGGTCACAACAAAAATCATAAGTACCGTTCGTATTCAATTTATTTCTCCTACGTTTTCACTTAATCAAGAGTAAAAAAAAATGTTAATTATAGATCTATGGAGGTACGACACAAGCCTTATACATTTTGACTTCGTTCAAAAATTGTCGGTACGAGTTTATTTTCAGTAACTTGGATGCTAAATGCACTCGACATTATACTTCAGTGATGGGTGTACACAGGGCTTATGTGTCATCAAAAATATACAGGGAATTAAAGTTGAGAGTCGGAATTATTTATGAAAAACGACTGAACGTGTTACCTCACGAAAGCGTACATGAAAATTTGCCAGGGGTTTGGAATTTATCATCTGAACAGGTAATGTACTTCTGAAAATAAAATATTTATTTTGTCTTTATCAAAACACCAACGTATTATAACATGATATTTCAGGGCAATGTCGGAACTTTGATTGTAACGAACATAAGAATCGTATGGTATGCTGAAATGAATCCACAATTCAACATGTCCATGCCCTACTTAACACTGGCAAGCGTAAGTCATTTGTAAAAAAACTTTAGAATTTCCTTGTTTGTACAGATACAGCATTTTTGATATTGCTTTGTATAAGATATAAAATGTAATTTTCATGATCCAGTAGTTTATAATCCTCGTCATTGGTATAACTTTCAGATACAAATAAAAAAGTCAAAGTTTGGACCAACGCTTGTAGTGGTAAGCACCGAAGCATCCGGCTCCTATGTCCTCGGGTTCAAAGTGGATCCAGTTGAAAAACTTTACTCCTTGCACAAAGACATTACATCCATCAGCGCCGCGTATAATAAATCACCCATTTTTGGTGTAGAATATATCTTTGAGCACCAGGTATACGTGATGATTAAAAATATAATTACAAATCTAAGAAAAACCTCAGTTTCACACGCTTATATAAAAATCGTATTATTTATAAATTATATTTTTTCGTTATGTACACGTTATTTTAATATAATTACAGTCAATGCCTCAGTCTGAGCAGGTAACTGAAAAATTTACAGAAGTTGAGTCTTCCGAGGACGACATATCAAACGTCTTCAACATGTATTTTGCTGAAGGCAGCACTGATCAGAGAAAACCGATCTTGGCTAGCCACTTGGGACTCGCAGCTGAAGAACCGCGAGAAGGAAGCACGCTAGAAACCCTTTGGGAATTGTTTCCAACGACTACCTCTACAACTGGTAAACAGTGACGCAGAAACCAAATAAAGTACAATTTATTTATAATGAGTAGTTAAATAATGCTTTTATACGTATGTGTATAAAAATCTTTGTTTTTACAGTTAAGAAGAAAAATTTTATATATTACAAAACATTGGGAATAAAATTTTGTTCAGTACTCTCTTTCTCTCTCTCTTTTCATTATAAAGCAAATTTGTTTGCCGTCACACGAGGAAATACGCGTGTAATAAGCAACAACTGCATTTTACGCGTATACCTAACAGTTATTAAAAATAACAACATATGTAAATTTTTTTTTTCTCGTTATTATCAGCAGATCTTAGCTCGGCCTACAGTTCAGCGGGGCATTCGACAGATCGGGTCGACCTTCGTTATCCTCTTGACCGTCGCCTTGACCGGGAGGAAACATGTAGGCTATGTTAAAAGGCATTAATTCGAATTGTTCTGAGTTCATGCGCAAGTAATTTGCAATCGCAGCCTCATTTGCATTCTTAACTTCCCAGACATTTTCAGATCCATCCTAAATTAAAAAAATATATATATATATGCTTATATTTTTTTGAGTTCGTGTCTCGTTATGGATAATGAGTTACGTTCAACGTCATGCTTTAAAATTGTCTTCTTTCCGTGCATATTGTTAGCCACTCCATTATTCTTCAAGTGTTAAAACAATGTTTTAAAAAGCCATATGACATAAAAATTAAAGTCAATAGTTTAAATGTTACCCAAGGTTTAAACATAATTATTCTAATGAGAAAATAAATAGGGTCTAGCAATACGTCACGAAATTTTTTTATACAAACTACAGCATACAAATTATAAAAGCGAACTAATTTACGTTCAATGGCTATTCTACTAGACAACGACAAATAATAAAAAGTTTTCATTTTCTCGCAAGAAATGTTTTCCCGTTAAAATTAACTTTATTAGAATCAGTGAAGGATATAAAATATCATCAGTCACTCAAATAAACACAATTATTTGATTAGTGTAACAGACTATCGTGTGATGTAAGTATACATGATGCAAGTCGATATTAAAGATATGTTATTACCTCGGGTAAGGGACTCCACAGTCTTATCACTTGATCAATGCCGCTCGTAGCTAATAAACACATGGATGGATGAGGTTGTAGGCAATTCACTATCCTGGAATCTCCTTTCAAAACGCGAACTATGTTCGTCGTATACCGATCCCATGTGAAGAACGATCCATCGTCTGAGCCAGCAATGATAAACCGACTGTCTCTGAAACATGAAAATACGTACACATTTATTTAATTGATTAAAATAGAAAAAATATTTCCTTGCTATGTGGCTAGATGAATGACGTACTCTCCGAAAAAATTCGCCTCTTTAATGTCTGTGACTGTGTTACAGTGTCCGCACAATCGCACTTTAAAGTCAAGGGCATTTTTTTGCCATTCCTTTTCGTATTTTGAGATTCCTGATTCGTTGGGCTTACTGGATGTTGAATCATTATCAGAATTAAGCGCATCTTTTATGTCTTTTCTTAAATTTCTACAAGCGCTATTCTTTGTGTAGTCCGGAAACTTTTCCATAAAGTTTTCCATGACTGTGTGAGCTTCGTTGACCCTTTTCAGGTCGAACAAACATCTTGCTAGTCTGTTGAGAAGTAGAAAAAAATGCAGATGTTTAATATGCGCAAAAATAATGGGAATTGCAATCAAAAAACAAAAAAAAATTACCTGAAGTGAGCTTTGACGTGATTTGGATCCAAAGCTAACGTGATTCGACAATCGCGTAACGCATCGTAAGTATCTCCTTCCCTAAAATGTTCCAACATTCATGATAACATTTTCATGAAATATAGAGTTTTAACTTAAAATCTAGAGTCAATATCAACGATAATTTTTGGAAACTATCAATAAAAATTCAAGTATATAAATGTACACTCACCAAGCACGTTTCATATAAGTGCTTGCTCTATTAGCATAAAGAGTTGCTGAAGTAGGGCATAAACTAATGGCTTCATTGTACATCGAAATAGCATCAGCGTAATGTTCGTCTTCAAAAGCTTTATTTGCCTGTTAAAAAAGTGATTGAAAAAATGAAAGACACCATTTTTATGTCCACACAACAAAAAAAAGACATCAAAGAATCACAAAACAAACCTGTTGATGTATCACTTCAACTTCAGGACTCAACTGAACTACATTCATGGCTGATAAATCTTCAAGCACGAGTGGACTGTTATCGTTCTCTGAACTCAGTTCTTCGTCTTGGTCTCTATTATCGCTATCTAGATACATTCATCAGTACAATACATGCTACGGTATTAACGAAAAACCATCGATATCAGTACTGCGTACTGAGTAATTAATTATACGTCTCCAACATACCTATTTCAGCAGGAACAATAAAACGCCTTGAATTTCGGTGGTCATTGATATCGAACAAATAAATTTGCTCTGCACCCATATTGACTAGCAACTCATTTCCATCATAGCTAAACGTTAAATAAGTCGTGGAATACTTTTTACACTGACCTCGATTTTTCAAGTGACCTGGTAAGAAGCAAAAAAATTTGTACATCATAGAGGTAACAACTACTTGTCAGTAGTTCTCAAAATGTAAATACCTGCAACGAAGTATTGCACACAACCAAGTGGTACGTTATTGTCGGGATCACCATTTCCATAACCCAAAGAACTAATATTTGACGATCCAGATACGGGTCTCTGAGAATCAATAAATCAGCAAATTGAACAAACATTTTAGCAAAGAAAAAACTTAATAAAATTGAAAAACACTGACCTGTGAGAGCTTAATCATCCTTCGGTCGTACATCCTGACATAGGCATCATTTGCTCCAACGGCAATCAATTCAGGCCTTCGTGGATTAACATTGATGCATTTGGCCTCTATGAAGCGGCCAAGATGATTGGTCAGATTGACGAGAACAGTGGACTGATCACTTAGCTTACACGAGTGAGATTGACGCAGATCGTACTGCATGACCAGGCCATCCTCGGAGGCACTCCAGAAGAGGAAAGGCATCGCTGGTGCCGTCGCGACCCGCTTGACTCTTCCATAGTGGCAAGAGCAGATCAGTAACGTGTCCGAATTTGCAATGTTGTGCACGCGGATCTTATAATCACCTGCTCCGGTCACTAACACCGAGTCGTTTGACTTTGGCATAAACTTTAATAATAATTTTAGCATTAATAACGAGCACAAGGATGCTTTTTTTTTTTGAACTAATTAGTTTTGTACTTGTAGCTTACAACTATTGCAGAACAGTTTAATGATGAATGGAAAATGCATATTCAATAATAAACTCACAACAAGCAAGTAAAGTAAAACTAAGAAACTTTTACGTAACAAATCGTTTGAAATACCTTAACAGTAAAAATATTACCCCCATGACCAGTTTGCAGAGTCAATTTCTTTTGATATCGGAAAGGATCCCACAGTATAACTTGGTAATCATCCGAGGCTGAAGCCAAAGTTCTGAATATTCGAAATTTCATTGATTGTAGACATGATTGACATTCCAAATTAAATACTTTGTTACATGTAAACACAATGACACTAAGTAAAAGATAATTGCATTACTAACGTTCCACTTTCATTCCACTCCAAACAATTGACACAGCCTTCGTGTCCTTCGAGCTCCTTCTCAATCCCCAAGCGCTTCAGGAAGTTGGTTGTTACCTTTAGCCTGTGTGTGATTGTTGTGGACACTGAATTCTGCATTACCAATAATTAAACAAAAGCAACCGACCATCAATAACATTTTCAACGAAAATAAGACAAGAGACAGTTTTGTATGGGTATGACTAGAAAAAAGGTGTTTGTATACGTACTCCTATCTCCCTTTTCCGCAGCAAGTCCACAACCCGGGGCTCGGCAGGTTTCTTTCTAGTCACGATCTCCATTGTATCAATAACACTGTGCTTTGTAACTTAAACTCTCGGACGACGAGGATGATGACGGGGACAATAACACAGCAACGAAAACAAACATATCCTCACCGAGTTAAATGGAAAAAAACAAAAAAAAACAAAAAAATTATGTAAGTACAATCCGCAGTACGAAAAGATTGCAAACGACAGACAAAAAAGAGCAAGTTAGATGAAAATAATTAACTTCAGCCGAATACTTATTATTCCCGAGTTTTACTGTGGCTAGCTTTGAGAGACTGCGATTACGATAATTTGCAGGAGCTTCTTTACGTATAAATATGTAAATACAAAAATAGAGAATATCTTAAAATGATCAGCGCCATCTAGCGAGTACAATTCCGAACTAAAAAAGAACCATATTTCTTTTGGAAAAAATTCCCTAGGATAGTAAATTTTTCTAGGGAATTTTTTACAAAAGAAATATGGTTCTTTTTTAGTTTTGAATCAGGCTCGCTAGATGGCGCTGTTCGTTTTCAACAAATGGTAGCATTTGCGGAATACAGCCTCTGAATTTATCATTTTGGTAAAGAGAGCGTGGTGTAAGAAGTTATCTATTTGTAGTAATTATCGTAATCACTACTAAGTAGTGCCATATGGTCGATTTTATTAAACCATATCAGTAGAATATCTATACTTTTGAAGGTCGATTTTCGGGTAAAACATAAATTGTAAATTTGCCGCAAGTAGCACAGACTCTGTTAACTTTTTATTTTATCTCTATAAAATTAGTTGCGGCTGGTTTATAACCAATTACATGGCTCTAATATATAAGTAGTAATAATTATTTGGATCAGCGTCATCTAGCGTTGCGGATTTCTGAACTAAAAAGTGGCCCTAAACTTTTCAGCCAGAGCTTTAGCGTTTAGAGCCATTTAATCAATAATAAACCAGCCGCAACTCATTTTGTAGCTATAAAATAAAAAAATAACGATACATGTGTTGTTGGCGGCAAGTTATCTATTTATCTTTTACTCGAAAATTCATCTTCAAAAGTATAAATACATATGAGGTCAATTTTTGGTAGAAAATAAATTGTTAACTTGCCGCCAAAAACACAAGTATCGTTATTTTTTCATTTTATAGCTACAAGATAAGTTGCGGCTGGTTTATAATTTACTAAATGGCTCTAAGCGCTAAAGCTCTGGCTGAAAAGTTTAGGGCCACTTTTTGGTTCAGAAATCCGCAACGCTAGATGGCGCTGATCCAAATAATTATTACTATACCTATTAGAGCCATGTAATTAATTATATACCAGCCGCAACTAATTTCATAAAGATAAAATAAAAAGTTGACAGAGTTTGTGCTATTTGCGGCAAATGTACAATTTATGTTTTATCCGAAAATCGACCTTCAAAAGTATAGATATTCTACTGATATGGTTTAATAAAATCGACCATATGGCACTACTTAGTAGTGATTACGATAATTACTACAAATAGATAACTTCAATTATATCTTACACCGCGCTCTCTTTACCAAAATGATAAATTCAGAGGCCGCAAATACTACCAGCAGACCAACAAACCAAAGTCCATCGCGTCCTGATGGTACCTTACCTTAGGTAGACGCCTACCATACCAGCTCACTACCTAACACTTCAGACTGTCACAACACAACAAACCAAGTAGTTGACACTTTCTTTGATTAGTATATAAATCGACTATTTTTTAGGTAACATATTGTTTTATTTGTTTTGAATAAAAAACACACTGATACATATTGTTAATTGTAAGACTTTCAATCAGACCCATATGTACTTAGGTGCAGTTTGATGAGTGCACAATACGTGTAACGTTTACTCCAGTATCTGTACGATTGATCTCACATCTGGCCTGTCAAATTACTTAAGTACAAGTATTAGTTTATTAGTTGAAGACGTTTATTCTTATAAAATAAGCAACATGTGCATTCAAGCGTATTTTTGAACAGTATAAGGACAAAGTGTAGACATGGAAAACACCAGTAACAAATTATGTTACATCTTTAGTTCATCTTTGGAAAAGAAAGTGGAGATAAAAATTGGTACATTGGAAGGGAAAAGATACAAACTAGAGTATGACCAACTACTTGATGACCCTCTTTTGAGGTATTCTGGATTGTTTGGATCAAATTTTGGTCAAGGTGATCTAACAGCATCCCTTCAAGTGTTTGCAAATGGAAGAGCACTGACTTTACCAGTGTTTACATCGTACAAGCACTTCACTTCTAGGTGGAATTGGAACCAATGGATTACGTTGCCCATTTCTTACGCTGATCTTCCCCGAACTGCACAACTATGTGTTTCTTTTTTCGATTGTGCTGGGCCAGGGAGAAACATCTTGGTTGGTCGTACAACAGTCTCACTATTTGGCAAGTATGGTGTGTTCAGACAAGGCATGCTTGATCTTAAAGTTTGGCCAGGAGAAACAGCTAACAGTTTTTCTGCCAAGTCTCCTGGTGTATCAAGAGATTACAAAAAAGATAAAATGCAGTGCTTAGCTAAACTTGCAAAAAAACATCGTTATGGTCAAATAAATAAAGTTGACTGGTTAGATAGACTCACGTTTCGAGAAATTGAGCTTATAAACGAGCATGAAAAAAGGACATCAAATCACTTGTATGTAACCATAGAATTTCCAGAAATCATCGTGGATGGTGTACTTTACGTTATCGTGCACTACGAGAAGGATGGAGATGAAGTGGTGCAACATCGATCACAACCTGATATTGTGATACTTCCTGACTATGAGATCTTGCAAGAAAACTTGGTGGAAGCTAAACATCATAAATTAGCTAGAAGCCTACGAAGTGAAGGTAGTACCAAAGAACTGAAACCAACATCAAATGTTCGAGATGCCTTGAATATTATACTTTCATATCCACCTACTACTGCATTGTCTACCGAGGAGCAAGACCTAATATGGAAATTCCGTTTCTACTTGTCCACTCAAAAAAAGGCTCTCACAAAGTTTGTAAAATGTGTCAATTGGAAAGTATTAGGGGAAGAGCGCCAAGCATTAGAAATGTTGTCCATATGGGCTCCTCCTGATCCCGAAGATGCTTTAGAACTACTTGGACCTGCTTTCACACATGTTGCTGTTAGAAAATATGCCATTCAGCGTTTAAACCACGCCTTGGATGACGATCTAATGCTATACATGCTGCAATTGGTACAAGCTTTGAAGTATGAAGATTTTGATTATATTAAAAAAGTTAGTGAGTATCGAATGAGACCAGAAGAACAAACTAGTAGTAATAAAAGCGAAAGAACGGACAAAGAAGAGAAGGATCGCACTTTTTCGTCTTCTGCAATATTGGTGAGGGATTTCCAATGTAATGATCCTGAAGACAAACAGAATTTTCAAACAGATTTAGCAAGTTTTCTCATTACACGAGCTTGTCGTAATTCTACACTTGCTAATTACTTGTATTGGTACTTATGTGTTGAGTGCGAAAATCCAATAGATTCTCTTAGTAGTGCAAAACAAGATTCTCGAGTTGGAGAAATGTATGCCACTGTTAAAGATATGTTTGTAAATGCGCTTTCAAGTGGTAACAGTGTTTGGCAGGAGAGAAAAGCATTTTTAGACAAACAGAAAAATTTCATCGACCAATTGATTTCACTTACCAAAGCTGTGGCCAGAGAGAGCGGAAATCGTAAAAAGAAGACTGAAAGATTGCGTGCTTTGTTGTCCGACTCTGAGCCAAATTTCCGGGTCAATTTTTCAAATTTCGAGCCCATTCCATTTCCCCTTGATCCAGACATCTCAATCAAAGGAATTTCACCCAATAATGCGATTCTTTTCAAATCAGCTCTCATGCCCATCAAACTAACATTTTTCACTACTAATAACAAGGAGTACAACGCTATATTCAAACATGGAGACGACTTAAGACAAGACCAACTAATTTTACAAACCATAGCTTTGATGGATAAGCTTTTGAGAAGAGAAAATTTAAATCTCAAGTTAACACCTTACAGGGTCCTTGCCACTAGTCCAAGACATGGATTCCTACAATTCATTGAATCCACAACAGTTGCCGAAGTGGTAGCAAACGAAGGTTCAATACTAAATTTTTTTAGAAAGCATCATCCTTCCGAGAATGATCCATATGGAGTAGCTCCGGAAGTACTGGACACTTACTTGAGAAGCTGTGCTGGATATTGCATAATAACATACGTTTTGGGTGTGGGAGACAGACATTTAGATAATCTTCTTCTTACAACGTCAGGAAAGCTCTTCCACATCGATTTTGGATATATATTGGGGCGTGATCCTAAGCCATTGCCACCACCTATGAAACTCAGCAAAGAACTGGTCGATGGTATGGGTGGAATTGGATCCGAAAATTATCACGAGTTTCGCAAGCAATGTTATACAGCTTACCTCCATCTGCGCAGGAATGCCAATTTAATTTTGAACCTCTTCTCCTTGATGGTAGATGCTAGTATACCCGATATCGCCTTAGAACCCGACAAAGCTGTTAAAAAGGTTCAAGATAAGTTACGTTTGGATTTGAGTGATGAGGAAGCAGTTCATTTTATACAAAATCTCTTGGACTTATCATTGACTGCTGTCATGGCAGCATTAGTCGAACAATTTCACAAATTTGCTCAATATTGGAGGAAATGATTTTTTGAATAACGTTTGCAAATATTTAAGTTTAATGGTTATTAATACACACTTATTAATTGTAACTTTTAACATAAAGAAGATTATTTTAAAAAATTATTGAAACATTTTTTATGCACTATCCACAATTAACCATCTAGAAAAAAGTCAGCAATTTGTTTTCCGAAAGAAGTGCTAAATATTGTTAATTTAAAATGTTTTTTGTGTAAATTAGCTGCACATGAACGATTTTTGTTATACTTTGCAGCATTAAAATATTTAAAATATTTATTCCATGAAATATAAGTAGCCCTTTTGTTGGTATTAATATACATTGTTTATGGGAAGTTTATATAATAAAGCATAAGTTTTTGTACATAGCGTATTTTCTTTAAAAAATTTAATGTGTGATAAATTGTGATTGTTAAATGAAAACGAGTGTCAAGTCTAAATTCATAGAGGAGAAATTTTTACTATTTGTATCATTCGTTTTTCCATAGCGATTAATCTAATAAAACAAAAAAAAAATTAACATGAATGACCATTAATCAATTGTATAATGTGTTATACTCAGTTTTCTATCTTAGGTGCAGCAATTAAAGGGCATGAAGCAGAAAAATTAAATTTTTTTAGAAGCTTACAAAAAATATTTATAAAAAAACACGTCTGAACATTACAGCCGTTACTACTAGTGTTGAGACTCAAAATCTTTATTTATGCCAGTCATTTACAAAATTTAGTTGTGTACAAAATTTACTTTATTTAAATAAATTAAACAAAGCTAGCTCCTCAGCAAAAATTTTCTTATTCATTTAATTATTTATCAAAAAGTAAAAAAAAGAAAACGACACAATAATAAAGTTAAGATTTGATACTATCATATTAATCTCCTAATAGTTATATTTTCAGTGATAATTTTTTTTTTTGTAAAAATTAATTGGAAAAATGTGAAGTTATTCCGAAAGTAAGAAACAATAAAAAATTTGTATGAACAGTTAATAACAAATTATAAAAATTTTTACCGTTTACTTACAAATTTTTAATTCATTGATAATAAATAATATATAAGCAATAAATTGCAATCCTAAACAATCTTTATAACTGTAAACTGTCTTTTTAATTTATTAATTTTTTTTTTTACTTTCCAAGACGTCAATTGTGACGCTAAAAAAGTCACTAATAATAACGAATAACAACAGTTGTTTAATATTTTGCTCTCGGTCTCACATCTAAACTTAATTATTTTTTATCATCGGTCTTTATCACTTATGATTAGTTATTAAGAAAATCGGTAAAGATTGAAGAAATTTTCTCATCTTAGCCTTTGCAATTACTTTTAATTTCTCCGCTCACCCCATTATTAAAAAATACCCTTTACCGATCTCATTTAGGGAGGAATGCGAGGCAGGCTTTAAAATTTTATAGTATTACAAGTCGTCCTGTAGAGTAATTTTTGCTGATAGACGTGCAAGCTCATCCGGAATCCGAACTCCAAATGGTCCAAAATTTGCGTGGTGGACAAATCGTGCCGAACAGCTCACAAGTTTACGCGCGAATCGCTTGAGTTTAGTTTTAATATATTTCAACAAAAAATTTTACATCACAACTTACAATTCATTCAATTAATGTTTCTTTTTTTAAACAATGATTTTATTGGTAATGTGTTGCAGTTACTACAAATATATCGCACATACATGTACACGTGTGAAAGGGTGGTTGATGAGTTTTTTTTTAATTACAATTACCCATATGAAATGTTAAAATGTTTTTTTAATCCATACATTTTTGGGGAATTTTAGAATATTTACAATACCAAGTTGCACTTGCAGTCCTAGATAGGTACATACATACATCCTATGATTTTTCTTCATATTTCTTGCTATACCGTAAGAAAGAAGTTTCCGAGGATCGATAAAATATTCACCTAAACAGTACCAAGTGAATAAAATTTTCTTGTTTAAAATTTACATTTTTGAAATTTAATTGTAAGAAAATATGATCTTCATTTCAAAATATCATTCACTTGAAAAAATTCAAATAAATATTTTCTCGATTGAAAAAGAAATTTTCTTTCCGTGCAGTCTCGTTAAAAATTCATCTCAACTGCACAACCATATAATTATAATTACGGTTCCCCAGAAATTTTTTCAGTCGCGCCTTTCATGAATTTTTATACATACATACACATCCAGCGTATCCATCCGAGCATGTAAAATATTGTAATGAGTACGCATGCACGCGCGCGTTCGTCGTCCGATGCGCGCCAGAGCGGAAATCAAATGAATCGGACCGTGCAACTGTGATTTCAATGCATAATATACAACGACAGCCGATTTAATTTTAAATTGCAGACATACTATAAACAAAGCTTCGGTAGGCTGCTGTTTGCCAAAAGGGGGTGGCCAATTTCCACTCGAACATGTTACGTTAACATGTGTGTACTGCTTTATAACCCCCGCCCAATAATTGCACGCTATTTTCCCCAATGATTTGGGTCGTCAAGCTTTCACACCACGTTATCAAAGGGTTACCTGTAGATGTTTACATGAATCATGGCAATTACTACATTTTGTTCATTCATTTCACTGGTAAGGAGTGTGCAGCTGAAATAGTAATTTATTGCTTCGATCCAACAATTTTTCAACGAAGCACATTTGTTGTATAGTTCATTTTCTACTTTTTTTATTTATTTATTTAAAAAAATAAAGTTATATTTAATCGTGAAAACATGAGAGTAAGTGTCAAAAAAAGTTATTTATTATGTATACACTCACGTTACGTTAATCTCTATTGAGAGGAGTGTTTCATCATAACTCCATTGTCTATTACAAATAAGCGTCACGTTACATCTTTAACCAGTGACCATTTGTGACCAGTTAACAACCATTTGTTTGTAAACATACTTTCTACATGATTTTTTTCATCCTTGAGTTTTCAAAAAGTATCGGTAATAATCGGTTTGGAAAATCAGAATCAGACTGTTTGGATGGATAGTTCGGAGTAATTTTATAAATTGTATAAAAAAAACAAAAAAAAAAGAAAAAAACCATTAGGGATGAAAAAGTTGAGTAAATACTCGATTGTATCTTGTAACTAAGATTTGTTATGAATTTTTACATCCGCAGTTGATGAATATCTATTCAATTATCAATTATTGATACTAATCATTGATAGTTATTATTAGCTTATCAAGAATGGACAATTAATTATTTACTTATAAATTGTGAATTTAAGTAGTTGGTAAATAACTGATCAGTTATCAATCAAGAATATACAAATAATTTATAACTCAATAATAGTGTAACGTACGATATGCAAGGCATAGTAACAGCGAGGCTACTTTTTATATAATAAAGCATAAGTTTTTGTACATAGCGTATTTTCTTTAAAAAATTTAATGTGTGATAAATTGTGATTGTTAAATGAAAACGAGTGTCAAGTCTAAATTCATAGAGGAGAAATTTTTACTATTTGTATCATTCGTTTTTCCATAGCGATTAATCTAATAAAACAAAAAAAAAATTAACATGAATGACCATTAATCAATTGTATAATGTGTTATACTCAGTTTTCTATCTTAGGTGCAGCAATTAAAGGGCATGAAGCAGAAAAATTAAATTTTTTTAGAAAGCATTATCAGTAGAATATCTATACTTTTGAAGGTCGATTTTCGGGTAAAACATAAATTGTAAATTTGCCGCAAGTAGCACAGACTCTGTTAACTTTTTATTTTATCTCTATAAAATTAGTTGCGGCTGGTTTATAACCAATTACATGGCTCTAATATATAAGTAGTAATAATTATTTGGATCAGCGCNAAGAATTTATTTTCATTTATAATTTAATAATTAGCACTCAAGAATTGATATACATCCAGAGTTTATAATTAGATCTATTATTGATAATAGTTCAATCAACAATATTATTGACAATGAAGCATTATGAATTATTGAAATAATTAAATATCCATACACACACACATGAGTTTAATAAAATTAAAAATTGTGATTAGAGACAAAACCAAGAAATTGATAAAAACGGAGCATCTTTATTTTTAAATTAATTATTGACGTTTCGTCGACATACAGCTAAAAACTCAGACTAGTTACTTGTAAATTATTTGAATAAATAACTGACGACTATACAGTTTGTTATAAATCGCTTAGTCAATCGGTAAAATAATTTATTTTTTACAACACTGAGTAATAACTTCTTACTGTTTGATTTAAAAACGATTTTTTTTTGTTTTAATACGTAGGTACATCGTATAAAAAATATTCCCTTAGCATATTACAATACTCAAAGTGACCTGTTACATAATTTGTTTTTTTTTTTTCAATATACCATTTATACCAATAATTCAAACCAAACTAAAAATCACTATTTTCTGTTAAAGTAAAAACTGTTGATAATATTTATTTACTTATTTTTTGCATTCAATTAATATCGATCTTACTTCCAACAATGACTTGTAATCATGAAAAAATTGAAATCACCATTATATTGTCCGTGTATTTGGGCAGATTTTGATTTGGTTAAGAAAATATGCTTATGTCAAAGAAAAAAGTAAAAGTTAAGAAATACCTTTTTGATACCCGCTAAAATGAAGAAAAAAAAGACTTTAATTGAGTAATTGGATTGACCGACTGCGAGAGGCTGCGAAACTGTCGCCGGAAGTTGGCGAACAATGCCGACCGATATCCATTACTGGTATATAAACGATCATGCGTACGGACGACTGGATTCTTACAATGGGCAGATGCAACAGCACAAACACCACGAGTCAAACTTTAATTTGCTACTTTTTGCTCGTTGCAATTGGTAAAAAAAAAAATCCCCCACAATGTTCTATTGTTTATGGACATTTAGCGATGTAAAGAGCCATTTGGAAAGACTTGACACAGGTGACTGGAAACAAAATTGCTCGTCACTAAAAACACGTACAAACGAATCGAGTTCAAGCGAATCTTTGTAATAAGGCCAATTTCCCTTATTGTTTAAATGCGACACCAGTAGGTCATTGAATAATCAACGGGATGCCGCGTTGTTCGGCTTGTTTGCTCCAGTGCGTGTGGTCTGTTTGTCGCGCGGAGAGACAGGGAAGGGCTTGGAATTAACCCTTTGTAATGCATTCGATCAGTTCGCTTGGCGTCAGGGGGTCGTGCTTGTACGCGGATACTCGAACCC